TGTGTCTTCACAAATGTGAACTTTAAATATTACTTTATCTTCCTCAGACTTTTCAGTATAGAATAGCTAAGTAACTTTGTAGTTTTGCTTTTTTACTTGTTAGGTTGTTAATGGCTTGTTTAACAGCCCCAGGGTTTCGCAGTTCCTTATGTGAACTTCCTAAAAACTCTTCTGTGAATGTTTTGTGTAGACCTGAAACTGATGGGGTGAATTTCTGTAAAAATACTTTAGACTGACCACTGATCCTGGCCTTAAAGTTGGGAATAGTTGTCAGACCACAAATGTCTTTTCTGAAATTAAAACAAGTGTATAATTGATTTGGGCTCAAGCCTCAAGATTTGAGTGATATGTTGAAAGGTTTTATTGTTACTGGATACTGTTACTTAAGACTCAATTCAGACTAAGCTTGTTTAAAAAAAATAAATTTTGGCTTAAAGTATTGCATACTAGGTGATTTTTTTATTAAAGTCGGAGTACTGATTGCTAGATTATATCTTTATAAACAGATACAATGTGACTTTAAAATAGTTTTGACGAAAACCTTGTCATTACCCACTCACTACTAGGATTTTAGCTAGTACTGTACCCCCCGCCCCGTAGTCGACACAATATTGCTGTGGTGGAGAATACTTATAAGAAAGGTAGGTTCACACTAAAAGTTGTGGTTCCGGTTACTTAACTTTATTTGGGTAAAACCTTGATGTTTCAAGTTAGCTTGTATGTTAGCAGAAGTTACAGCTTCATTTTCATTACTTATGTGAAAACTTACTACTTCTGCCTTCCATTTAAAGTACAATTAAGACTCAAACCTAATTTAAGGTCTCTTTGGTGTTTTTTTATTTTTTATAGGTGAATCATGTGACTGTTCTCATATGTTTTGCTTTCTCCCAGAGCCATAATCTATAAGCTACAGGAGGTTCCTCAGGCATTCTTAAACTTTGTTTTAAGAGTTTTTGGGAAATAGTTTAACTCTTAAACTAATGCGGGTAAGATCTATAGAACCTGGTTAAGTAGGTGGTTAATTCCAGTTTAAATATGACATTATCGGATTACAGTGGGTTAAATTTCTCATTTATTTAGTTCCATCCAAGATGTTAGAGATTAAGCTTTTTTAAAGCATAATGCCTCTTGGTAGATCCTGAACTACATATACTTCAAGCTTAAACCTACAGAATTTCAACAGTTTTTTTAGGTCTATCTGGACAGGTCTACTTGCAGTTTTATAGGACTAATATTTCACAGTATATCCTGCAGATGGTGGTAGAGATTTAGAGATGCTTTTCAAAAATCTTTTCTTTTGTGATCTTAGTTTGAAGAATTAATGCAGTGTAGTAAAATTAAAGCTGATATGGAGTAAGTTAAACAAATCACTTTTCTAGTCTTTTGTAGCACTGTTTCATTTTTATACTCATATCTTCTTACAACAGTACCTTGTCTTGGCATTTGTTTAAAAAATATCTTTAGAGGGAATGACTTACATTGAAATCTCCTTTTGTACCCAGTCCTAGTAAGAAGAATGTGAATGCTAGTACTTTCCCATCCCTCCAGAAAATGCACCAACTGTATAGTTACCTCTTGTAACTGAACTGTACTTGCAACTTACAGTATGGCCAGTTATACTTAGGTCATTGCCCTTGAAGAGAAGTCACTAATTGTAGAAAACTTGAGACTGTAGATTAACCAGATTCTTTAGAGTATTAAGAGTTATTGTACCAGCAGTGTATCAATTTACTGGAAATCCTGTCACTAAACTTTGTAATTTTGCAAAAATACTTTCTAGGCCCCACAATATTTTGTTAATATTGTATACCCAATTGATAGATTGATTTGCTAGACTGATATGAAAGAATGGGTATGTACTGATAGAATGACAAATGAGGCAACTTTCAGAATGAAGCTTGGAATACCTATACCCTTGACCTCAGTACTCTAGGAAGCTTTACTTAAAAAACCCATCTATTCATAATATTAAAGCCATAATAGCTTAATGCGTGACTAATTCTCATAAAAACCAACTGTAGTGGAAGCGTCTGCCAGTATTTTGGTGATTGAAGAAACAATCAGTAATAGGTATACGCTCTAAAATGGCCTGCCAGCCTGTGTTTAGAAGGAAAACACTTTGAGAGGATTACAATTGAAAACTCTCCAGTAGCTGTCGTCTTCATGCTACAAAGAAACAGGCTGAAACAATTCACTAATATAGAGCTTTGCTATGTAGCTGTAAGTATTGAGTGCAAAATACAGTGCAAAACAGCAGAAATGACTTATTTTGATGACACAAGTAGGAATTGTTCACTGAGGGTCCTTTAAGAATAAATCCTACCAAGGAATTCTTGTTGAAGCATGCTTAGACTTGAACTCTGTGGCAGGGATCACTGTTGTGCTGTGCTGCCTAGACGGGGGAGTCCATTTCCAGTGATAGCGCTGCCATGTTCTGATGCTACCCAGAAAAATGTTTTGAAACAGAAGTTGGACTCCAGAGTTAAGAGCAAAGAGTAATCACTGATTTGTAAGTTATAAAGTGCATGGAAATGAGATAATGAGAACTGAGACAAACTATGTCATGCCAGAAGGTTAGACCAGGGGAGTTAGGGAGGAAGGAAAGGCCTTTTTTAGTTGACTCTTAGCTGCTGTTCAACTTTTGATTAACTTTGAAGGGTAGCTTTCCAGGGAGTAAACAGCCTTTTTAAGCAGGGAGAACAACTGGCGATTAAATGCCTGCCCATAGGCAATTAACTTCTGAGCTGATGAAAGGTGCTGTTCTTCCTCTTTCCC